GGCGCTTTATCTTGCTTTGGGACAAGCCGGAGTTCCGAGCTCGCTTATTGAGGCGGTCAGATCCCTCCACATGCACTGCTCCTACCTGGTGTCGCACGCCGGTCACGAGGACACAGTGCTCACTACCAGGGGCATTCGACAGGGCTGCAATTTAGCTCCCCTTTTATGGGCCATCATTACCATCCCAATTTTGTCCAGACATCGAGCTATACTGCCACGGCTAACCCGTACACTATGTTCGCTGACGACGTCACGGGATGCTGGCTTTTCCACTCGCTCAGCGAACTGGAAAGTGCGACTTCCGATATACGCGACCTACTTAGGCACATAGAGGAGTTTGGGCAGGTAGCAAACCCGCTAAAGTCTAGGATCATGTTTGCTGCCAAAGGGGCCTCACTCCGGCAGTGGGCTAGGGGGAGAACCAGCACGCAAAACGGAGTCCGGCTCCTAGACGTGGGCAAGGAGGGTGCCCCCCTCCTTGTCCCACTGGTTGATGAGATCCCTTATTTGGGGACTATCCTCTCCTTTCGAAGAGGCGGAGACGCTACCACAGCATTCAGACTAAGGGAAGCCCACCGCAGGGAGGGACAGCTCAGGCGCTGCCTGAAAACGCGAAGCCTTCTCACGTCAAGTGAAAGAATCAAGATTTGGCGCACATGCGTTCTGTCAAGTGCTCTATTTGGTCTCCACATGGAGTTCCACACACCACGCTCCGTCAGAATCTTGCACACCTGGTTCCACAAGGCAGCAAGAGGCATCACTGGGACCCCAGCGCATATCACCAAACTTAGCAATGCGGATCTCCGCGCTAAGTACGGGCTTTCAGATCCCGTTCACTTGCTGCTACAAGCTGCCCGCCGGAAGGCAGTACTTGCTGATGGCCAGGTCTTCTATGCCTCTACTCCCTCTGAAACTGCCAGACTTCAGAAACTTGTAAGGCATTTAGAAGATATCCTACGTGCGGAGGCATGCCACCTTGTCCCGGCACCTTCCGACAGCGCTTTCCCTTGCAGCGTCTGCGGACTTTCTTCCCCTCAGTTAAATCCCTGCGCCAGCACGAGGCCAGAAAGCACGGACGGCTCACCGAGCAGGCCTCGGTCACCTTTGACGCGGGTGTGCACAGCCATCAGGGCATGCCGCAGTGTACCAGGTGTGGTCGCAAGTTCTTTAACATGAGATCCCTCAGTGGTCATGTGGCCCGTGCTGCTTGCATGCCAGGGATTGTACCCCACCTTGGTAGTGAACCCCCTGATGACACACCGGCTCATACCGCTGGCCAGGGTGATTTCCCGCCCCCTACACTCCTGCTTAGGCAGGACAGCACGCGACGGGAGGCTGCTGTAGCCCCCCTCCTCGTCGCTGACACGCATGCCGCCCATTTGGCCAAACATTGTGGTTTCTGTGGGCAGTGGATGCAGGACGCAGGAGCTATAAAGACACACTTTCTTAGGGCCCATCCCGATGAATGGAACCATTGCCTGCCTCACTTAGAGGCGACCACCATGAAGTTCAAGTCATCCCTCACGAGGGGCTCGCAGTGCCGCTGGTGCCAGAGGCCAATCTACGGGGAGGGAAGGCACGCTCTACAGTGCCCGGTCCTCTTCCAAGTGGCGATTGCTGGCATACTTCACACTGAGGGGCAGGCATCAGCTATCAACCTCGCCGACCTGGACTTGACCTGGGCTCAGCTTACTGCCCTGTTGACGGCAGGAGCAGATGACTCTCCCCAACGACTCACTAGGGCGCAAAGCCGAGCCCTCCTACAACGCTGTCGGCTCTGCGCTACAACTGGCGTTACCACTCAGGTTGTAGATATACAAACCTGGAAGCGGCATGCTCAGAAAGCACATGGCGTTACCCCGGGCGACTTGGCTGCAGCCTCTAGTCTCTGCTCGAAGGCGGTCAACGACCGTCCTTGTCGTTTTTGCGGCACTCACTTCCAGAAGACCTCTGCGGCTCACAGTGCTAAGTGCCTGCCACTGTTGCAGCTTTCCCTCTCCTTCAGCCGCCATGGCTGCCCTCAAACAGGCCCAAGCAATAGAACAACTATGGCAACGGACGACGGGTTTCCTGCCAGCGGCCTCCGCTCCGGACAGCCAACAGACCAAGCAATAGAAGGGCGAAAAAACGGGCCAGGACGAGAATCTGGAAAGGAAGCTGGTAAAGCAGCGGAAAACGGAGGGGAAGCCAAAGCAGCCAAGAAGAAAGCGCTCACGCAACCCGCAGGACATGGACACGGCTGGCGAGGAGGACTCGGAGGAACTGATAGACGGCAACAGAGACATCAGCACGCGCAACATCTCGCGAGCGGACGTAATCCAGATGGTCCTTCGCCACGAAGCAGCCATACAGGCACTAGAGGCGGACCGAAGCTATGTACTATTCCTGAGCACGAAGCACCTCTCCATCCTGCCCCAGCTCAAGGCGGCATCAGAGGAATGGCAGAAACTCTTCCAGGACAGCATGGCGGAAACGGCGCTACGTGCCACCCTCGTGGCCATACTACTGAAGGAACTACTGGAGAGAGTCAAGCAAGTCGACCCAGAGGTTGCAGCGGTCCTCAAAAAGGACGGCCTACTCCAGGAGACGGAGGCCGGTCTATCCTGGAGGTACACGAGGTGGGATCACAAGAACAAGAAGGAGGTGCTGGAGGATCACGCGCTCAAGCAGGAGGAGGTGCTGAGAACCCTCACGGAGCTCATTCAACACTGCAACGATGTCTCCATGGTCCATGTTTTCAAGCCCTTCACAAAGCTAGCCAACCATTATCAAGCCGCCACAGTGAGATTTCGACTGACGCTCACCCTGCGCCCGGAGGGACGCTCGGTACAGGAGGCCTTCACCCGACTATGCAACAACTCAGTTTGCGCGCTCATAGGACTGCAGTTGAGGAGGGAACGCATGCAGCCAAGCCCAGCCGCAAAGGCGCTACAGCAGCGCCAAAGAGGCAGACACTAGCTAGCAGATCCATTACCGACTTTTTTGGGGGAAGTCAGCAGAGGGATGTGGTTTGGGGCGGGATACACCGCTCCAGCCCACCCCTGCGACAGACGGCTGAGTCATGGGGAAGCAATGCCAATGGGGAAAAGTCACTGAAGTTGTCTCCTCCACAGCCTGCTCACACCCCTCCCCCCTCTCTTGAAGCGCATGATTTACCCGGTCAGCCGCTCTCAACCAGGTTGCAGAACAACTCCAACTACTGCTACATGAACGCGCTGGCTGCGATCCTGCACTGGGGCTGCATTCAGCTTGGAAACTACGACCAGATGGGAGTGGTAGGACATGCGCTTCGCCATATTGCCAGACTTTGTCAGTGCAATCTTCCGGCACACCCACTGTGGAAAGGCTTACTTCAAGGGTGGAGACAGCCTCGACAACAGCACGACATTGGAGAGTTTCTCATGCACATACTAGATCCCTCCTACCCGGCGATAAATGGTATATATGAGAAGCGCTTCTTGCTTGAGACTGAAGCTCAAGTACAGGAGACCTGCGTACTGGGCCCGATCTTACCCCTGGACATCGCCAACCTCAACGAGATACACCTACGTAACTGGACTGCACAACACTTCATTCACGGCTTCACGATGCTTCCTCCTCTACTGATTCTGCAGCTCGAACGGTTCTACCGGCAGGGAGGACGTACGAGGAAGACACGCAGGCTGGTCAACATCCCTTACAAACTTAGCGTCCCTTATTTCGCCGACTCGGATACCTGTGACATAAACTATAAGGTATATACACCCTCATTGGAGGCGCGTTTCACCTTGGAGACTCCACCTCAGGAGGCCACTACCAAGCATGGATGCAGAAAAGGGGTTTTGAGGACTCCTCACCCCAAAGACCCATACCTCCTGAGACTATAGTGTTCACGGATGATAACGTCTCACCACATGAGGGAACGGCCGAAATAGTTCGTGTTATTCAGCGCAACGCTTATCTTGTTGTGTATATCCGTACTTAGCTGCTTCTTTTTGTCCTTTCGGTCATGGACTTCTGAGTCGGTCGCCTTGGCGAGCTCAGAAGCAGGGGGTTCCCTCTAATTAGTCTAGATGCACGCGGATGCTTAGGCATCGTGCAGCGACGCTGCCCGCATAAGCCTCGAACTCGAGGACGCGTCTGAATGAGAAAAAAAAACGACGGCCCAAGTCTGCTGGACTTCGGTGTACTGCAGCGGCTGGGCAGTGCCCATTGCCCGTTGCCCGAGTATGCAGCCGAGCACGAACTCGGCCTCCGAACGTGTCGTAAAGGGGGGTAAGGCGTCCAGAGGTCCCGAGTGGGGTAAATGCTGAACACCACCTACTGGGGACAGAGTTGTCCCCTTCGGGTGTCCCGAGTGTGGATGTGTACAGCCCAGCAAGTGCAGGTTTACCCCCACTTTACGACAAAAAGAGACGAGTGTCCTGCGAGGGTTTTTCGCTAAGTAATACGCTGCACTCTTGCGTAGTAAGTCTGTGCAGTATTGACTGAGCGGAAATCCTTGCGTTGTGTGCCGCAGGATTTCCGCTCGGTCAGCTTTTGCTTTCCCACCGCCACCCGCCCTCCCGAAAGCTAAAAGCTTGAGGGGGGGTAAATGCCGGACACCACCTGCTGGGGACAGAGTTGTCCCCTTCGGGTGTCCCGAGTGTGGATGTGTACAGCCCAGCAAGTGCAGGTTTACCCCCACTTTACGACAACAAGAGACGAGTGTCCTGCGAGGGTTTTTCGCTAAGTAATACGAGCATTTCTCTTTCGGTACACAGCTGAAGCAAGATGCACTGATGGGGAGGCGATGTACTGTGGAGTCTGTCCTCGAAGATATTTTTGCTGGGAAGTCCACAGCGACCCTTCATACGAGGTTTGGCCCCGTGAGCAGGTATGTCAAATTTTGCAGTGAAAATTCGTGCGATGCCTTCCCTCTGAGCGAGAGTTCGGCCCATTATTACATGGAATCGTCTGGACAGTTGAGTGCTGCGACTCACCTGAGGAGCTTTGTTGGGACCCTTGCCTTTCTTATTCACATGGTGGGAGCCAGCGTGACCGAGCAGGTGTTGAGTCCCAGAGTTCTTGGGTTGGCTGGAAAGCACTACATGTCCAAGAACAAGCTACAGCAGCGACCTCTTCTGCTAGTCAAGCATGTGCTGGCTCTTGAGGAGATAATCGTGGGAAGCTTGGAAGGGTACAGTGATGTTGATAGAATTGCGGCAGGGTTCTTTGCTTTTGCCATTTATGCGAGGGCTCGGCATTCTGATGCTCAGAACGCTGGGAGTATTCTTGCGGACGTGCATCGTCAAGAAGATGGTTCGACAGTCGGCTATCTTGAGGCCCAGGTTGAGCGGTCTAAGACATCGACAACGCTGGAGCGAAAGACGAGGTACTTGCCAATGGTCGCCCCGATCCATGGTGTTGGCCCTGGTTGTTGGGGCCTCGAGTGGATGCGACTGCTGGCAGATCATGGCCCTGTTTTGGGAGCGGGCCGACCGCTCTTGCCGGGGCCTATGGAGAATGGGCAATGGCAGAACATTCCGTTGAGCGCTGAGGCTGCGGCTCGTTGGCTCAGGAGTTTGCTGAATAACATTCCTGCCAAGTTTTCGAAGAGTGAGGTCAAGGTGCTTGGTGCCCACAGCCTGAAGGTCACGCTTTTGTCGTGGGCGAGCAAGTACGGCCTCTCTGTGCAGACCCGGTCTATCTTGGGATACCATAGCAAAAGTAAGGGCAGCGTCCTGATTTATGGCAGGGACAATTTGTCGCAGCCTTTGCGAGAGATTGAGGAAGTCATTGAGGCCGTTTCTATGAAGCGATTTTCCCGGACGCTCTTCGCTCTGGTTACTTCAAGAAGCCAGGTGATCTTGATGAGCAACGCATTGAAGTTCTTTCTGACTCGTCCTCCGAGGATTCTCAGGACGAAGAGGCGCCGGATCATGAAGCTGAGGAAGCCTCTCTTGAGGGATTGGATCCTTGGGAACCTTTTGCGGGCGCCCGGAAGATGGTTGAGGGCTTGATCGGGTTCAGACATGTTAACTCGCGCATCATTCATTTTTGCGTCGTGCCTGAGGAGGGAAGCACTTTCAAATGCGGCAGGCACATCACCGGCAGTTTTGTCCAGCTTGAAGCTATTCCGAAACTTCTCCACCCTGTTTGCAGGCAGTGTTTGCCGGCACCTCAGACTTAGATGTTCGCGCTGTGCGGGACCAAAAACGTGCGGAGCTGAGTGAGGTCTGCAGTTTTGCTCCGATGTGGCTTGAAGTGCAGGGGACTCCTTTTGGGGGCTCGAAGGAACCGTGTTCAGCTTGTGCCCTGGGCTGTAGTGTTGATTCCAGAGTCGGATAACTGCGATGGCTGATAGCTCTGCCGCATACAGCGAGAGCACTCCTGTTCTTAGGGACAGGCTGAAGCGAGCCGGGTTTGACGATTCCCAGGTCGAAACCATCACTGGCACCGTCAAGACTCTGAAGAATCTTGCCTTTATTTCTTCATACAGTCCTGGCCAGGCAGATGATGCTCCTCTTATGCAGGCTTTGTCAACACTTTTGTCCGAGACAGAGCCCTCAATTAATTTGCAGAGTTCATGGCGTGCTGCATTCCATGAGGCGTATGCAGTAGTCACTGCTGAGCTCAAGCAGCAGGTTGAAAGGACTGAGGAGGTGCAGATCAGGGCGCTGACTCAGCCGGAGAGCGCTGAGCGCTACGAAAATCAGGTGAAGCGCTTGGCAGGCGTTAACATCCGTGGGTCCACTGAACCCAGTGAACGCCTTGTGGACATATGTGTGGCAATTTACGAGCGTAATCAGTTGCAGTATGTGCCGTGGTCCAGGTGTTCCTCCTGCGAACATGAATCGCAGTCGGAGTCCAGGAAAGAGGTGAAACTCACCCTGGACGGGGGTGGCAAGGTGAAGGTCGATTCTTCGACCAAAGAGCTCGTCGCCGATACGAGTTCGGAGGTTCACATCACACAGGCCCTCCAGCGAAGGGCTTTGGCCATGGAACAAGCGAACATAGTTTCGTATACTTTGCTCGACCTGTGGCATCAGCGATTGATGAAAGCTCGCCTCACTGATCCGCCCCCTGGCTATGCTAGGCCTTCTTTTGAACAGTTGAGCTTGCTGATCAGAAGCTGTTCAGCGAGCTCCAGGATGAGACCCGTGCGGCCATTCAGGCTAACGCGGAAGGCAGGCCGATCGACCGGATCATCAAGGATGTCATGTATCGTGTCGAGGTTGGCACGTTGCTGCAGCCGCTTCCGTCAGCTAGCACGCACTCAGGAGGAAAGCCGGGCCCTCAGCCCGCTGCATCCCCTGCGAAGGGAGACCGTGGTGGTAAAGCCAAGGGCAAAGGCAAAGGGAAGGGCTCCCGCCTAGGCACGCCACGCATGCCAGCCGAGCTTGAAGCTTGAAGGTTGCAAGGCATATACCCAGAAAGGCAAGGCCATTTGTTATGACTACAACATGTCACATGGCTGTTCGCGGTCTGTCCAGAGCAATGCTTGCCAGAAGGGTTTGCATAACTGTGCCTGGCCCGGGTGTGGTGGTGCGCACTCGGCTTCTGCTTGCCCGAAACGGACAGGGAAGAAGGAATGACTAGGTCCTGCCCTGGTCGTGGATGATGCGTCCCATGAGCGGGAGGCAAGTGATGTGACGAATTCGGGGTCGCCTCGAGGGTCTTCCTTTAAGCGTCCCCTTGCTGAGTCCGTCGCTCCTTGTGTTGCAAACAGCGTGTGCAAACCAAATGATGATGGAATCAGGGAGGCCCCGCCAAGCGGTTCGGCCCTGATCGAGCCAGATGATGGCCAAGTGCAGCTGAATGCATGTGCAAGCTTGTTAATGCCTGCAACGCGCGGTGAAGCGCGGTCGAGCGACCACGGGTTGCGCTCGAAGGTGTCTCTGTCAGAGGCGTCACGCGGTGAGGCGATGATGAAAAGCCTTTCAGGCTTTCGCGGTGATGCGAATATGAGCCATATCGCCGAAGGCGAGCTGGTATCAAATGCTGGCGCTGATGCCATGTGTGCTGTCACTCCTTTGTGTGAGAGCAGGAATGTTTCAACTCTCTCGTCCGAGCATTTTGCGGAGATGATTCTTGAAGATTCTCAATTCCTCGCTGCAGACTTGGTGTCGCTCTTCTACATGCTTCCCCAGGAAGATTGCCCGAAGCAGCATGGATCGAAGGCTAAGGCCTTCGGAGGGGGTGCCTTCGTGAAGGGTGGGTTTGTAGGTTTAGGGACTAATTCCTATAAGCACCCTTCTTCTTGCCGAGCTTTTGCCAGTGCAATTCGCTACGCAGCTCCGGACTACCCGTTCACTAGTTTTTCAGTCCACTGTGACGCGTCAACTGAGGTGCACACTGACAGTTGCAACGCGGACGCCTTCAACGTGATTCTGCCTTTGACGCAATTCTCTGGCGGTGGCGTCCGGGTTCAGGAGTCTTCAGGTGCTGTTCCCTCTCCTTCAGGTTGTGGTGCCATGGGTGTCGTTGCTGACATTGCGTCTGGCCCTCATGCTGTTAACGCAAGAAACAGGATGCACACCGTTTTGCCTTGGCGTGGAACGCGAATGGTTCTGGTTGGCTTTTCAGTTCCGTTGCAACACAGCCTTGACGAGCGTGACCATTCTGCGCTGTTGAGCCTCGAGTTTAATCTTGATCTCAAGCCTTCAGCGGTCCAGGCTTCATCGTGCGGCCCGTTTGCCATTCATGGAATGCTTGACCTGAGGTCGTCTCGGAGGCCGTGCCCTCAGCAGTCTTTTGAAGATAATTCGGCAGTGCAGCCACTTGGCTTGAAGCTCCAAGATGTGGATTCCGGTGCCCCGGTGTGCAGGCCTGCCAGGTTGCTTGTGATTGAAGCTTGCTGTGGTTGTGGGCGGCTTTCAGCTACGTTGAAGAAGGACGGCTTTGACGTCCTGGCAATGGATTGCGAGGGCAACCGGCATCGGCCTTTGGTCACAGTTGTGTCGCTTGACCTTCGCAGATCCAGCAGTTGGCAATTCCTGCAGCACTGCGTGTTGTGCAACACTGTGTTCCATTTTCACGGTGCTCCGCCTTGTGGCACCGCTTCCCGTGCAAGGGACAAGCCAATGTCGCCTCACGAGTGGGAACCTCCTCCGCTCCGTTCTGAGCGTTACCCAGCAGGGTTTCCTTGGTTGACCGGCCTGTGGCGTGACAAGGTGGAGTCGGCTAGTCACATCTATCGTCGAATGGCTGCCTTTTGCCGGTGGTTGTCTTCCTTGAACATAAGCTGGAGCGTTGAGAACCCTCTTCGCAGCTACATGTGGTGGCTTTCCGAGTGGAAGTTCTTGCATGCTCGTGCGCTGGACGTTGTCTTTGATGCCTGTATGTGGGGCTCTTCCCGCAAGAAGGCCACCCGTATTCTCACAACGTCAGTTGAAATGTTGGCACTTGTTCGTTCTTGCGACGGCACGCGTGGCCACGCCAGTTGGCAACCGCGCCGTGATAAGCGTGGCATGCAATATGCTACTGCTGAAGAGGCGGCCCACCCTCACGAGCTCTGCCAGGCAATGTCTAACGCGTTGCAGTTGCAGGCCACCAGCATGGGCTTGGAGTTGTCCCCTTCGTGCCCCTTGGAATCCTCAGCAAGTGCTTCCAGTGCAGCTGTTCGCAAGCAGCGCAAGCTGTCCACATTTAAACCTTTGATTGAGGACTAGAAGTATCGTGTCACTGTTGCGGTGGACTCTGTTGATGAGCTTCCGCTTGATTCCAAATCATGCCTGTTGAAGGCGCTGCCTTCTGTGCCAGCCGGTGCCAAACTCCTCCGCAAGGTGGTTAGCGGGGTTGATCCTGCTCCGGGTTTAGGCGGTGTTGGGGTTTCTCCTGCGCCTGGGTTAGGCGGTTTAGGTGCCTGTAGTGGTTTAGGTGGGCTTCCGCAACAGCGCGCCTCGTTTGGCATCTTCAGGTCCCCGTGCGAGTTCGTGAATGTGGCCAAGGAACTGGAGCACCCTTTCGACGCTTGCAAGGCCGTCCCGGATAGAGTGCTTGAGATTGTGGCATCCCTCTTGTCCTCCAGTCCGGTGGATACTATGAAGCATCGGTTGGCGTTGTTGCATAAGTGGAAGTCTTGGGCGAAGGATCTCGAGAGTGAGGAAGAACGCCTTCACAAGAATCTTGAGACGGGTGTGGCAGTTGTGCTTGAGGGAAAGCGGCTTCTGTTGCTCAAGAGGATTGCGCAGTCGTTGGGGTGGCCCGACGAAAACGTCCATGACGAGTTGATCCAAGGATTCCGTATTACTGGCGTTCAGGCCGCTAGTGGGGTCTTCGGAGTGGAGCCTCGCCCCGCCTCTTGTTCTACGGACGATCTCATTAAGCAGGCTAGGCACATAAAGCCTGCGCTTTGGGCTAAGGTGCGCAATGGCCCTCTAGACGACCTGGCTCGCGAGCTGTGGGATGTGACATATGGCGAGTTCGAGGAGAAGTCGTGGCTCGAGAAGCCGCGAGGCATTCATGAGCTCGACGCTTTGATGCCGACCGGGTGGGTACCGGTCCGGAGATTCCCCGTAGTTCAGCGCGGGAAGCTGCGGCCCATCGACGACCTGACCGAATCCGGTACTAACGGTGCCTGTGGCACGCTTGACAAACTCGACCTTCGAGCTCTTGATGAGACGGTGTTCACTGCGATGCTCATTCTGAAATGCCTGAAGGTCGGATCCTTTGCGTTGAAGCTTGGTGATGGCCGTGTGCTGCGAGGTCGTGTCCACCCCTATTGGCTTCAGCGCCCAGAGGAGGCGCGCATTCTTTTGAAGGCGGTCGATTTGAAATCTGCTTACAAACAGCTACCGCTACATCCTGATGATCGTCGTTTCAGTGTTATCTCCTTGCGGGACCCCCATGATGGAGTTCCCAAGGGGTTCCTTTGCAGAGTGCTCCCGTTCGGCAGTGTTGCCAGCGTGGGACACTTCAATCGGATTTCGAGGCTCTTGCAGAGGATTTTTCACGAGATGAGGTTGCTGGCTGCCAACTAGTTTGATGACTACCCCTTGCCTGAGTTGACGGCTTTGCGGAACAGCGTGGAGAAGTCTGTCAAGGCCGTGTTGGATATGCTAGGTTTCGCCTGGGCAAAAGACAAGGACGAGGCTTTTCTTGACCAAGCTGACCTTCTTGGGCTCAGGATGGCTATTTCATCTGGGCTTGAGGCGGCTGTCACTCTTTCGAACAAGCCGGCAAGGGTTGATGAGTTGTCTCGGGCACTGAGCAAGGTGCTGGAGGACGGTGTCATCAGGCCACGGGACGCAGCGACTGTGTTTGGCAGGCTTCAGTTTGCAGAGTCGCAGCTTCTGGGACGTGCGGGGCGGTTAGCTCTTGCAGACATCCGCTGGATAGAACGATCTTCGAGCGATGTGCACTTGAACGACTTCGATCGGAATGTGTTCAGCATGTTGGGGGCGCGCATTGCCTCGGGGAAGCCGCGCGTCCTTCTGGCTTCGCCCGGTTCTTCAAAGGCCTTGGTTTTCACTGATGGAGCGTGTGAAGGCCCGGAGGGCCGACAGACACTTGGCATAGGAGGCGTCATGTACTACTGGGATGGCCGCCTGTGGTCGACCAAGTGGTTCAGTGCTTATGTGCCTGATGAGCTGGCTTCCCGTTGGATGCCGCTGGGAAGAGACATCTCATTGGTCCCACTGAGTTGTACGCAGTCGTGGTGGCCAGGCTTGTTTGGAGGCACCATCTCGATAGCACTCGATGCATTTATTTCATTGACCACGGCGGGGTTCTCAGCTCGTGCATTAAGTCTAACTCTCGAGATCTTGAGTGGCGCAAGCTCCTCCTTGCCTTCGAGAAGGTCGACATGGACTCTCCGTGTCTTGGCTGGTATGCGAGGGTGCCTTCAGCATCCAACCCCGCTGATGCTCCGTCGAGGGGCTCGACCGACTTTCCTGTGTTGGGGCACTCTGTCTGCGACTTTCCGGCTTGCCCCATTCTTGAGACTCGTCTTTGCGCAGTGGTCAGTTGAGGAGTGTGAAAAGGGGGAATGTCCCCTGACCACTGGGGCATAGGGGAGATGCCCCCGTGAATGCTGTGTGGCGGAAGGAACTTGCTCCTTTCGTCCCGTTTCATGCGCCTGATCGCGCTTCTCCCCACTGGCCTTTGCGCAATCTGATAAAAAGACATGTCCGAACCCATTTGCACATGTCGTTGTGTTAGCGTTGCCGGTTTGTGAAGCTGTGATGCGAACTTTTCAGTTGTCAGTGCAAGTACTTCGCATTGCAATCAACCTGATTGGCTGACTCACTCTTGATGCTTTGTGAAAATTGGTTTTCATTTTTGAGTCAGTTTTTGGTTTCATAAATTCGCGAACTCCCTGTTATAAGATCCCACAACTATATTTCCTACAAAGTATTTTCCTTTCAGAAGTACTTTGGTCAAGGAAGATGGGAGTTGGCGAGCTGTCGA